CAATCATAAAACATGTAGAAATAGTAAACAAAATAAAATAAGAACTATACTAGGAAGTAAAAAGGTTTCCATTTCTACTTTTCTTCAGGTCAAATAACAGATCATTATATTTTTTATAAGTAGTATGGGCATAGAAAATTGTGTTCAATTAGAGCCTGTATAGTTTTCATGCATCATTTCAATAACCCCAAATTTCAGCTTACACAAATACCTATACTAAGTGACATATAAATCCGAACACCCAGTTTAAATGGTTTTATTTTAATAAAAGTTGGTGAATGTATTTATCTTACTGTAAATAACAAGTGAAAAAATTTTCAGCCTTATCAGTTGGACATTCCGGTTTTTATACTGCTTTTTTTTAATTCACTAACGCTCTAAAAATGAATATTTCAGCCGCAGTAAAGAATCAACGTTGGCGGATTTTGGTTCTTGACATCCTTTACGATCGGTTACGATGCCTAGAGTACGGAGACCTGTACGATTTCGTCAACTTAGTGAGTTTGATAGGGACCGTATAGTGGGACTTCGGGAAGCTGGACTTTCTTTTCGGGCAATTGCAGTTAGAGTGCAAAGAAGTGTAGACACTGTGGTTAGGTGTTGTCAGGCATGGCTTCGAGAAGGCCGTACGCAAAGAGCAAGGGGCACTGGACGCCGCCGTAGAACAACAGACCGTGAAGATCGCCGCCTAAGATTATTGGCCTTAAGAGACCGTTTCTCCACTACCAGGTCCATTGCAAATGAATGGCTTGCAGAACACGGAAGACCTATTGGCATGCGAAGTGTTTACCGACGAATGAGAAGTTTTGGCTTGTTTTCATACCGGCCACACTGGGTCCTCCCTTTAACTCGAGAACACCGACGTAATCGCCTTGAGTGGTGCAGACAACGGTCACTCTGGGATTAGGAATGGAACAGTATTGTCTTTAGTGACGAGTCTTGATTTTGTTTAGGCATGCACGATGATCGTGCCAGGGTTAGAAGGCGACGTGGTGAAAGGAGGAATCCACAGTTTTTTGTTGAAAGACATGTTCATCACCCTGTTGGAGTTATGGTTTGGGGTGCTATAGCTTATGGTTCCAGGTCACCTTTAATCTTCATCAGAGGTAACATGAACGCGCAGCGTTATATCCACGAAGTTCTAGAACCCCATCTTTTACCCTATCTTGACACCCTGGCAGATCCAACTTTCCAACAAGATAATGCCCGACCACATGTTGCAAGACTCACAATAGACTTCTTTCAACATAATGATGTCACATTGTTACCATGGCCACCAAGATCTCCCGACTTATCCCCAATTGAGCACGTGTGGGATATGATGGGTAGGACATTGCTCAATTTGCAACGTCCTCCTCAGACTCTAGAAGCACTTCGAGAGGAGTTGGTGGTTGCCTGGAATAAAATACCACAGGAGGACATTGACCACCTGATCAGAAGCATGCCTAGGCGCGTTGGAGAATGCGTAGCACATCAGGGTGCATCCAAACATTATTGAAGGTCAAAGGGCTTTAAAGCAGTGCAATCATTTTGAAATTTTTATCATTTACTTATTATGCTTCGTTAAGTACTTATACAAAATTTTATTAAAATAAAACCATTTAAACTGGGTGTTCGGATTTATTTGTCACTTAGTATATTTTGAAAAGCACCGATATGCATGTATGGATGTATCAGTCACCTTCACCATTATTTCAAGCGACACGCGGAAGAATGTACATTCACCATAATTGAAATATAAATCCGGCGATATCAAAGTACGATCTGGTACTTCTTGTAGGCGTCTTATTTTGTTTACAGCTGTCCAAAATAAGTAGATTTTTGTTGAAGCTGTTCATTGCCTTAGGCTCTTAAGGATATACAGCGGCATCCTGGTCCCTTATTTTCCTTTCATCTAACAATATGTGTTTGACAATTCTTCATTTATTATTTCTCATTATGAATCCGAAGTATGATACCTCTTCAAATTCCTTATTCTGTGCCGTCAGTTGAATTACAAATGACAACAAAAATAAGGATACGGCGCAACCAGTTTGTTCTTTCCGTTTTGCGTAAGCTCACTTATTTAATTGCGTCTTTGTTCTCTACCAAAGCCTTTTATTTAATCCTTTTCATTTGTAGACAGAGAGAGTCCTCGCTCACATAGATTGTATAAAATTGAAATTACAAGCACAACACATATCTTGCAATATCAATCTTTTTGATTGTTGACTTTATTCTTTGTTACCAAATCAGCTAGTGGATCACCGATTACTGAATGAGGCTAGACCACGGTAATTCTATCCACTTTATCGCAATGGCCGATTTATCGCTTGGATGAAAAACGGGTGATTCGTTTTGGCCACTGCTTCGTATATTATAGTCCAAAATCACGTGAATTCGAAAGTGTCATATTATTAGGTTTATTTAGTTCAGTTCCATGGAATTATGTACTGCCACTATAAAAAGAGACTGGCTTTTGAGAAACAACCAGCGTTTTATAATGATGTACTTCCCAGCTTATATACTATAATGTTCCGTGATGGTGGAAGCGACAGCATCATTTCTCTTATATTTGTGTCTCTTACGCCTAACTGGTTGTAATTATGTCACAGCTCAGTTGAAAAGCAAGGAGGTATATTGAAGCAGACGCTGGCGTTAACGAGCTGTGACTTTTCGGGTTATACGTAACAAATTTTATGCTTATTTTTGTACCACCTCAGTTTTAATGAGGATATTCAGAATGATTGTAACATTATTTGTACTGGATCATTTCTTGTAGATTTATAGATGGAATGATTGACAGTATTGGATTAACATGTCATGATGAGTTGAATATCATCATTTAACATATAATTGACAATGTTTCTAGAGAAAGTTTCTATAGTAGCTCTGAACTTTGTAGTATGGTAAGGTCATACTGTATAATAGACTGTTATTAGAAACTTGTTAGGTATTGCAAGTAAAATAATTAACAGGAAATGTTGCGCTAGGCAGAGTAATGACCGAGGTACCTTGCAGTACCTATCACTATACATTTTTAGATAGTAAAGTTGATCATCCTGGAATCAAGTTATGTTACTAAGCGCGCAAAGGCCCGAAATAGATAAATTTATTACATTTTTTGATTTTAAAGAACATATTTTTGAATATTGGGGGAGGTGTAGTATGGTAAGATTGCACTTTATAATAGATTGCAATTAGAAACATGTTAGGTATTTCGAATAATATAATCCACGGGAAATGCCGCGCTGGTAGAGGAATGACCGAGATACCTTGCAGTACCTATCAATATATATATTTGTAGACGAAAGTTAATTATCTTGAAATCAAGTAATCATGTAACTAAGAGCACAAAAGCCAGAAATAGATAAATCTATTATAACTTCATAAAATACAGAATACATATGGATGATACGCAACTTCTTTATTCGTTTCGCCCAGATGAAGTAGATGAAGGTTGTCATCGAATATGCTCTGATCTCAAAAGTATCTCCGACATCTCCAAACAGCACTCCTTGTACCTCAACCCTGATAAGTCAAATTTTATTATTTTTGGTCCCACAAAAATGAGGAATCTTCTTCCGAACAGAACAAATATTAATATCAATGGCGGTACAATAAATATGCAAACTGAAGTAAAAAATTTAGGTGTACTTCTTGATGAGGACCTGCGTTTTAAAAATCACATAACAAACTGTATCAGAAAGGCTTTCAGCAACCTGAAAAGTATCTATGGCTATAGAGATTTGTTGAATATGAATACCAAAATTTTATTAACAAATGTTCTTGTGCTATCACATTTTAACTTCTGTGACGTTCTGTATAGTAAGTGTATAGACCAAAATGATGCAAACAGAATACAAAAGGGTCAAAACTCGTGTTTACGACTTATCCATGGAATTCGATGTAGAGAAGGCATTTCACATAAGTTAGTAGAAACATGCTGGCTAAATTTGAAAGATAGACGAGAGCTGCATAGCGCATGCTTTTATCATAAGGTTGTAACTATGAAAACTCCTTCGAGTTTATATAATAAAGATACACACAATGTAAACATAAGGTCTAAAACCACGATCACACCACCAGCTCATCATACTACTCTATTTGAAAGATCTTTTTCTTATAACATTTCCAAAATATATAACGCTGTCCCCCCTAATTTTTCAAAATGCTACTTCCATTTTTTGAGATCTCGCTACAATAATTAATAACATCGAATATCTAAATGTTTTTTGTTTCTATGCACATACCTATATTACATATATATGATTATACCTACCTTACATTGTACGCTTTTCCCTAATTTCTTTATGTCTTTGTTTGTATTCTGTGAATTTTTTCATTTCTTCTATACGTATATATATTAGTTATTCATGCTTTCAAAAAGGCTATTGTTTGAATATTACTACGGTAACATATACTACTCGTATATCTTTACTTTTAAGCTTTTAAGTTAGTTACGTAGGTTTTGTTAGGTTAAGTGGAAGACCAGCCATTCCTCTATAGGAATGAAAGCTGAACTTCGCATTTTCCAAGTATCACTTCCATATCTCTGTACCTTGGTACCAACGAATAAAGATGATTATTATTATTATTATTATTATTATGCAATACAGGGGGAAATAATTTCTGATACGATTTTGTAGAATCTTGTTCTTTAACCATGTTTATTACTAAAAATTAGATTACTCAGGCTTCAGAAACTGTACAAGATGGCTAATTAAGCCTAGCAGTTAGTCGATTTGTATACGTAGATGTATATCGTATGGCATTGATGACGTAACCGACAAAAACCATGAAAAGAACTATACTTGCTTGATTTCGAGACGCCAACGCCGGGGTTACCAGTAAAAACATCATCATTGCACATATCTTAAACGAGACTCCAAAACTTAAAATGACAGAAACTCTGATTTCGTATCCCTAAATGATCAGCTATCAAAATGTTGCACTGGAGATACGCTTTAATGCGATCACTATTGACAATTTTGTTTCATGGCCTTATTTCTTTGTTCCAGGATGAGAACACTCCACCGAGCAAGCCCATTGATCTGGAAAAAATATTCACACCAGCCGAGGGGGAACAAATCAAACCCAAGAAGAATAGTAAGTTATTATTATCCATTACAATACAAGTTTACAGTCTGCCACAATCAAAAGTTCTGCAATTTTAGGCTAACAAGCAAGATTAGAAATCAGTCTAAAATAAACCGAGTCTAAAATGCTCTTCATGGTTTTGCTTAGATACTTGGCAACCTGAAAAATAATGATTTATAACTACTGGAAATACCTATTTTTAGGCCTTTCGCTCATACCTCTAATTTTAGAGAAGTGTTTCTAAGGACCTTTTTTGTTCAAACTTGAAAAAAATTTCTCAGAGCGAAAATTTTGTTGTAGTCTGTACGACGTTGCCAGATTACGGCAGGCAGATTTGTAAATGCATTGACAAAATGCGAACTTGGATTTTCGCAGACGTAGCATACCGAGCTTAATTTTTTACTTAGATAAAATTGCTGAAATTGCTTATACCGAGCTTAAAAAGGTGGAAGGAAAGAGTAAAGATGAGGGACTGTGTAGGTTGTAGGGGTGTATTAGCGTTTTCGACTAGGATTCGGGTATTTTGAATTGGATAAAAAATCATTTCGCAGGATTATTGTTGTAAAAGGATTTAAATCCGGTTGACTTAGGCTCAGCGATTCAGTCTTGTTCACAGCACGGGCCGCAACGTTGTCAGCTTACAAACTTCCTCGATAATGTAGTCTTCTAGTTTAAGGAACGGATGATTGCTGTGAGATCACGCCTGACTATAATAATATCGCTGCACGTTGTTTAATATTCAGTGCTTTTTAAAATGCTACTATTTTTTTGAACCGCTCGATCAAGAAAGCTGAAGTTCGGAGTAATTACGAGCTCCTTCCTACTTCAGTTGGCCCAACTATTGAAATCTTAGTTTTTTTCTTAACAAACACAAATAATAAAAATGTAGCAGGGTGTTATAAGTTTAAAATATTAACAATGAATATTTTGATAATATATAGTAGAAAACACCAACTTTATCACTCCCTAATCAAATTTGCAGCATAAAAATAACACATGTTGCAATTACATCATACCAACCTATTTTCATTTCAATGCAAAATAAGTCTATAACGCATACGTGACTCTGAAAAATAAAAGCCATGACAATTGTTTTTATTAATCGCAGCTGTCAGAATACGTTTAAAATAGTTTTGTGTAGTTAAGGTTTTCAAAATGGGCAGAGGAAAGATTATTAGTGAGAAAATTCGGTTACTGGTAATTAAATTTTTTAATTCTGGGAAATCAAACTCAGAAATTGCAACTTTGTTAGACTTATCGCGGTACAGTGTGAGAATATTGTTAGAATATAAAACGTAACTGGTCCAGTTAATATTAAGCCACGATATGTGAAAAAAGTAATATCACAAATGCCGACCGAAGAGCATTAAGAAGAATAATCGTGAAAAACAATTAGGTGCTCTGTGGAGTGACGCTGTTGGAAGGAGAATTTCGAGGTCCATAACTCATAGAAAGGCCCACAAACTGGGATTTAGCACTTGCAAGGTAAGTTTTCTTATAAAAAAAGTGAAGTAACAACCCTAAAGTTGCACAACTTGTTTATAGGCCAAAGAAAAGCCACTATTAACTCCACTGCAAAAGAAAAATCGGATTAGATGGGCTAAAGAACATAGACAATGACACCTCAACAATGGTGTGCAATACAAACAAATATTTGGCAATTTTAGAAGAATCGCTTTTACCAGTGATGGAAGAATGTTTGACATCCGGCAAAGATTTTGTGTTTCAGCAAGATGGTGCAGCGTGCCATACCTCAAAAAAGGCTATAAAATGGATGGAAGAAAATAATGTACCACTTTTGAAATGGGTTTCTAGAAGTCCAGATCTGTCACCTATTGAAACTTTGTGGCACGAGATGAAAAAGGTTCTACGAAAACATCCTGCTCGTGCAATCACCGAACTGAGACAAACACTTCAAGAAATATGGAATTGTTTTACACCAAATTTTTGCCAAAACTTGGTTAACACTATGCCCCAAAGAATTTCAGCCGTAATAAAAAATAAAGGTGATATTATCCAATGGTAATCTTTCAGTTGTTGCTTTGTTAACTTCGCACGTTGTTTATTTGTTCAGATGTTCTATTAGTTATAGGTCTAAGTGATTTCAAATTTGTATTTTTTACGACTAGAGTGTATTTAAAATGTTTTTGCGAAAATAAATTGTTTTAGAAGTAAATAGTTTCGTCATATTTAGTTTATAAAGACATATTTTGGTACAAATCTTGAAGTGGGCCAACTGAAGTGGGAAGGGGCTCGTAAGTACTCTGTTTTACCGTAAGAGTGGTAGTTGAACATTTCAAGATAGCGGCTGAGCACCATTTTTTAATATTTTTTAAACGGAATGGAGGTGGTGTGATACCGCATTTTGAACTGCTAACGAGTACTTCATGAGCGTAAAATATGGTATGAAATCAGTATTTTTCAAAATGGCGATCTGGCCAGCAATCTTCAAAGTCTATGTATGTTATTTGAACGTTTTTTTATATTGAATAGTTTATAACTCAACGACCAATCATCAAAAAGTTAAAATAAGTTATATCAATATCCTTCTCTTGGAAGGGTCTATCCCAGTATGTAATAAAATATAGAAAAATTGTTAGATTCCATTAGTTTTTGTTAAATGGAATGTATTATATTTTATTGAACATTCAGTTAGATTCTTCGAAAAGAAGAATATTGATATAAGGTACTAAAACGTTTTGACGATTAGTTGTTGAGTGATAAGCGATTCAATGAGCAAAAACTCTCAAATTTGCCAGTCCGCCATTTGGAAAGATAATGATTTTATATTCTGGGGTGAAAAGATACTTATAAGGTGCTTGCTTTATTGTAGGGTTCACATGACCACCCATTTTAAATTAAAAAAGATTACCAAGATCGCGCCTAGCCGCCATCTTGAAATTTTCAACTGTTGTTTTTACGTCACAGTATAGTATTCCTGCGTCAAATTCATCATCCCGAATTTCAGCTTCAAAAAATAAGTAGGAAGAAGTTTTCTAAAAAACACTGCTTAGTTTTCGAGGTAAGATACAATACCAGTTCTGCAACGGCTCTGGAGATATGCCGAAGGGCGTTAAGTGATTATTATCTGCAAGAATTTCAGCGTATTTGACCTGGTTAGAAACCAGTTAGCGGTACATGCATAAGTTATTGCTGGTCTAATAACCTTGTTGTTAAACCTAATTTTGGGGTTCTATACAGCATCAGGTAGGTGTTGCCGGAACATATTTTGGTATTTTTGGTTTCGACGGTGTGCTTTTGCTAGATCATCTCCATGTAAAGAATGACACCAAAGTGCTTTTTGAATATTTACACGGGACGTTCCCTGAAATCTCAACGCCGCTAGGTTCAAAATAAAGTCGCCATTGTATCCCAATGAAAAGTGGATCTATCATAAAATAGACAAATTAACATCGATCTTCAATTTGCCGGTATCTCGTTCGAAATCCAACATAAACAAGCCGCGCTCGATGCTTTCCATAATATTTATTGTACTAATTTTAAACATGAAAGTTTTAGTAATCGATTCTAGCCGCTATATAAACTTCGCTCAGTGAGTTCCTCCAGTCGTGGCAAAGCAAAATCTACTCATATTAGAAATTGGTAAATATGTCGATGTTTTATCGAATACTGTCTCAAGGTTTCATTGTTCGTACACAGATAAGCTGCATTTTACTCTTTACAACATTCCGTTTGATGCTTAATTTTCAATTGAAATTAGGAACTCACCTAACTCTATTATTCTATTATTAAATTAGACGTGCATATTCTTGTGCTATTTGTACTGTTCATATCTTCTCGTATTGTTGACCTTCCCCTTCTTATATTCTTGGAAACTAAGCTGGGCTGTACTACTACCCTTCTTTACCTTAGTGGTTCAGATGACTGCTGATCCATCCTGAAAAAGTCATTTAATCGGATTTGTGATGCGTGGCTTTCTTTCAATTTTCCCAATATGTACTACAAAATCGGTTCATCGCGAAGAGACACAATTACAGAGGATAAACAGTTTGGGTGTTTTGTCGGAAGGGAAATATATTTTAACTGTGGATAGGGGCCGATGAACTCGGACTAAGTAGGGGCATGTATACAACTTGTTTGTAACCGGAATCATGTAGTCAGTAGTCAGGATGCAAATACTATAAGTCGGTTAGGCTTAAGTCGTCAGTTTGCCATCTCACATTTAGGCCCATATCGTCAGTCGTCCCTATAATTGTAGGGCGCCTTTATGGCCTCCTTGAGTGTCATAGTTTTCTACTTCTCCGTGTCAGAACTCTATTTTGAGGTTATGTCACAAACATCTATTTGCATCAAATTTGCTTTTGAGTTATATCATGTTTTATCAGCCTGAAATTTCCTACAATTTAAAAAGAAAACATATCTTCACAAGAGGAGAGCGCTGACGCTGACACGGGACAAGTGTAATCTAGAAATTTTTGAAGGAGAGAAATCAGTGTGACAATCAAGGAGGCCATAAACGCGCCCTACAATTGTAGGGACCACTGACGATACGGGCCTAAATAATTATGTACCTTTCTGGGAAACCATATAAAAGTACATCGATTCCATATATAATTGTAATGTTCCAGATATTTGCAGAAAATGGTTCAGGTTTCAGTGTATTGCAAAACGCCGTCAAACTAAATCTGTTTTACGATAAATTATATTATTTATATACTAGTTAGCGGCGTTGCAAAAGGGCATGCACCTCAACATTGGGTTTTTACCTAGACAGTTATAAGGTAATCGTTTATTTATTTCATTCACTTCTTCGAACAAAAGTGCATACCAACAACAGGATTGAAAAATGCAAAATATTGAAGATAAACTAAATGTTTTGATGCATACTGAAAAAGACCAACGAAAACCTAAATCTAATTAAACTAAACATTTTTGTTTTGAATCATAAATTTCTTAGGAAGGATACTTTTGCATTATAAGTAGCAATTTCATGATCTCATTTCGGTGCCACGAAATTTTATGGAGGAAGCTCAGTACGCAAAAAAAAA